CTTTCCATTGGGAAGAGAAAGCTTTTCTGGACTTCCAATGTTGCCATTGTCAATATCCATGGAAGTTTGAGAAATAGACCTTCCACCCATATTTGCTTGACCATTGCGCCACATCATTTCTGACTCAGCTGCAACAAGCAAATAAGATAGATCTATTAGGGTCATGTCGTGATCTGTCACATAGTAGTTCTTAATGAACTCACTATATGACTCTGGAAGTGACTGAAGAACCCAGTCAATAGCCAACTTCCTTGGGACAACGACACCCAACATTCTCAACCTGTCAAAGTGTGACTTCATTCCTAAGACATGAGTGCACACAGGTCTTCCATCTTTATGTTTCATTGCTATTAGGGCTTGAGTGACCTTGAACTTTTCAAGTCTTCGAGCTTGTGGGTCAGGGAGAATAAATGGAGGAGGTGGAGGTAGGGAAGTATGATTTCCATGAGATTTGGGAAGATCACAGTTGTCTAAACCAGACATCTACAATGGGAGATATTCAAGTTAGTTAATTTTAAGTCCTTAATATAACACCCAATATGAAATATTAAGGCTAGGACCCAACACAATATTTTATAACTTGGAAGAGGGATGCCGTAATCCAAGCTATAAAATATTTGAAGGTAGGTGAATGATGATTCACCAATTTCCACCATGAAAAACGAAATAAATTATTAGGTTTTAATTGGATTTGAAACTCCTAGATCTTTTGAGATTCATTGAACTTTCAATGGCATGTTTCAATCTCGATTGTACCCTTCAGATTTTGTGACTGGGATGCCGAGGATCACAAAACAAGGTGTGAATAACCATGCAAATTCACTTGGTACCCTTAATATTATCACCTAATCAATGTGCCGGTTAACCACACGCGCTCCACCGATCTATGATAAACATTAAGTCACCCTTCGTGATCCTTACTAGTCCAAGTTAGTGTGTCGGTTAACCACACACGCTCCACCAACGACTTGGTAAGGTACAAAGTGTGAATTTAATGGGTTAGCACCAAATTCACATTTTCCTAAAGTAACTAAGATTGGGATTTATATAAAAAATATTTAGTTACTTTATAATAATCATTATACTTTTAATGAGAATTAAAGTCATTGTCTTACCCGTTCGGCTAACAACCCTCCACCGATCAAGGAAGCGGTAGGTGAGAGTGGACACCAATTAAGCTGCCATTTTATAGGCAACAACCTTATACCCCCTTATAGACCGGCTTCGTGAATGAGGCCTACTAACGGTAAAACGACTTGATCTTATACATATATATAAATATTAACCATTAATCTTATAATAGTATAAGGGTTGAATTTTAACTTTTAAAACTCTGGGGTATGGAATTAAAGTTTGTGTGAGACTTTACAAATTCCAAAACTTGAGGACAAGTTTTGAACAATTCAAACACTTTTGGATATTCTTAACTTATGAGTTTTAATTAAGGCTTAAAGAAACTTTCAATGAAGAGACTCTTGGACATCCATAACTTGAGGACAAGTTATGGAGTCCATAAAACCATTTATGTGAAAAACTCTTCAAAAGTGTAACTTATAATTTCTTTTAAAGAAAAATCTTTTGGAATTCCATAACTTGAGGACAAGTTATGGAGTCCATTCAATGTCATAAAGATCAAGAATTATACTATCAAACAATTTGCACATAATTCCTATGATCTACCAAAACTCATAAGTTCATGAACATTCATAATCAACAACATTCAAGAATCATATAAACATATATAAACTTGAAATTTTGATTATAACTTTGAAATTGGTTCACCACAATCATTACCACATCAAAAACAGGTTTTACAAGTCCAAAACAGTTTAAGGTAATGATTCTAGACCAATTCCAGTACCAAAACTCGAAGATATGCTGTCTGGGGGTCCAACTCATCGAGTGCATGAACCAACTCAACGAGTTGGATGATTTTTGTCTTGGACTCGTCGAGTCCCTTTATGGACTCGGCGAGTCTGCTGTGCAGACAGCACATAAACTTCGATTTTCAGCAATTTGCATCAAGTATTCAAGAAAACAAGCCTAGGCTCTGATACCACTATTGGGTTTTGAGCATTCTAACACTCCTAAGGTGTACATGCAACCCTAATAACCTTGGATCTATGTTTTCTCTAAAATACATGCAAATAAGAATTTCCAAGGTCTACATCCTAACTAGCATAGCATGGAAAACTAGAATCATAATATACTAGAAGAATGACATACCTTTTGATAGTGATTGATTGCTTGGAGTTTGAGAGCCTAGCACCAATAGTGTGAATGCCTCAAATGGAATCACAAATCACCACAAACTTTGGAAAACTCTTGAGAGAATAATGCACACTCTTGAAATTGACCACCACTGTTGTTCACACACAACTAGTGTCATTTCAAGCATCATAAGCTCCTTTATATAATGTGGAGGATTAGGGTTACATCCATGTAAACCCTAATACCCATGACTCTTCCTTTCCAAGGATCCATGGGTTAAAAGCTCCATGGACTATCCATGGACTCCCATGCATGCCAAGCCCATTCCAAATGAGTATTAGCCCACACTACATAAAATACAATAGCCCATATTTAATTAGTCACCTTTTTTATCACCAAATTAATTCTAAATTAATTTATGATCAATACTAATTAAATAATATGATTTCATATTAATATATTATAACTTATAATATATTAATAAATCATGAACATACTATTCTCAAAAGATTATCCATACAAATTGTTCGGGTGAAGTGCAACCAAATGGACCATGCCGGGTCGGGTCAAGTGCATCTCAAATAATGTTATGGACTTAGACACTATATCCAACAGTTTGAAAGGAAGGAATACATAAAGTTGGCAATTTATGCTTAAAGGGTCCCTTGAGTATGATAATGTTCAGATCTAGGAGTTAGTTGAGGATTTGGTTCATACATTTGAGTTTTGGTGCAATCTTTTCATGTTTGACCTAGAATGGATGGAGGACATGCATGAGGCATGCATGTCCATCAAGTAATCATTTTTATGGACCTTTGGAGTCCCCTTTAGCTTCTGGAAAAGTTAGAGTGGAAGACTTAATGGATTAAGGACTTAAATCCTTGGATTTTGGCTTCAAACTATAGTCACGATGTGAGACATAAGGTCTCACGACATGAGAATGAAAGACCCCATTTTCTGCTGAGCTTTTTGGGGCTCACGACATGACACTAGGATGTTCACGTCGTGAGGTCAGCTCAAATGATTTTTCTTTGACTGGGTTGGCTGAGTTGGGACGAGTCGAGTTGGAATCAGATCGAGTGGTCTCTCACGACGTGACCTAGGGTTGGTCACGACGTGAGGCTGGATAGCTGACATTATGGTTTGTTGACTTTCACTTTGACCGTTGACTTTTGGCATGGGTTGTGGTCAAATTTCTATTTTTAGAAGGTAGACTTAGAGTTTACCTTATATGGATTGTTAGGAGGTGTTTAACACCCATCATTTGGCAGAGAGAGAGAGAGAGAGATAGTAGTTAGCTATGGTCGGCGCAGTGTTGAGTTGAGTTATAGTCGGCTTTGTGAGTCAAATGAGTCTTCTCACTATACTCGTAGGTCGAAGGCACCAATGTCGGCCCACTAGAATATGTTATGTAGGATGTTAGTTGTCTGCATTGTATGTTAGGCTGGGCTCATTGGCATGCATGTAGGGCTGGGCCCATTTGCATTAATGGGTTGTGCCCATTATATGTTGGGCTAGGCCCATTATATGTCGGGCTAGGCTCATCTGTATGTTGGGATGAGCTCATTGATTAGGAAGGGTTAGGCCCATTATTATAAGATGGGCCCAATGTGCCAGCTAGGTCCGATGATATGTATGGTATGTGGTATTTCGAGGAACTCACTAAACTTTGTGCTTACGGTTTTATGTTTATGGTTTCAGGTACTTCCTGTTCCAAAGGGAAGGGTTAAGCGTGTCTGCACAACATCCCCCAGAGTTTTCCGCATCGACTATTTATGATTTTTACTCTATTTAAATGATATATTCACTTTGGTTGGGACGTTACAGTGTTCCTTTTGTAACTTATTATCAAAACAAAATCCCCTATCAAGTTTGTTGGCTTGGACTTCCATGTATCAATTTTATCTCAAGTGTGTGTTATTTTTTAACGAAATAATTTTTTTTGCATAAATACAGAAGATGTATTGGAGGGTATTGTTGTAGGGAAATGTTTAGTTTTATGTAATATATTTTTGTTATGTTGTGTAATAGATTGTCACCTTTACGCTAAAAATTAAATTTCGACTATAATCTCATCTAACATGCCAAACACGACCAAAGGTAAAGTTCATATTGACATGTGGGTAGAATTCTGCCACAATAGGCAAAAAGAAAGAATAATTCTTTGCCAATAACACACGACTGTCTTGTACGCTTCTTTTAGCTTCTCTACTCACCTCAGCAGTCGGCCAGTCGGCCCATGCCCAATTGCCCATCACTAAAAAGACAAAAACCAAGATTCTATCTTATTGTATTTATAGTGTTTACACTTTACAGTGGGCACATTCCACGGATAAAAGATTGAAGTTATTTTGTTCTCTCTACCTTCTCATCATTAATTGATAGTTTATGTGACTTCCTCAAGCTCTTATCTTACCTATTTAATAATTAATGATTATTTCTGTAAGTTTATATACTAGTATCTTTGTTCTTGACTTCTTTTTGACTGAAATTAAAGATATTTACTGATTTCCCATGTGGGTACACGTATATATCAGTGCAAGTTGCAACAATGTCTCAAAAACATTGAATCCATATGATGATGTTGTAGTTAGCCGTTAGGTTTAGTGTTCTTGAAAATCTTGATTCTTTGCCCAAAGCTAAAGTCTTGTGCTTCAAAACGATGCTCAGGTGCTTTTCTTCTTCTCCTTCTTCTTCTTCTTCTTCAATAAGGGCTGATGAAGTTTAATTGACTCGCATTCCAAAAGGGGTTTTCCAAAACTGGAAATTGATGTGTAATAATGAAACCAATGGTGATTTTCTTGGTTTTTGGCATGTGGGTGATGGTGGTTGTTGTCAAGGGTAAAACTGGAAATACAACATCATCATCTTCAAGAATGCATAGTGTTGTAAATGTTGGAGCTTTGTTCACTGTGAATTCGGTTATTGGGCGTTCTGTGAAGCCTGCTATTGCAGCTGCCATTGATGACGTCAATTCGAGTCCAACTATTCTTGTAGGAACTCGATTGAATCTTATTTTGCATGACACTAATTGCAGTGGATTTCTCGGCACCATTGGAGCTTTACAACTGATGGAAAACGATGTGGTGGCTGCAATCGGACCACAATCCTCCGGCATAGCCCACGTAATTTCCCACGTCGTCAACGAACTTCACGTACCACTTCTCTCATTCGGTGCAACCGACCCGACACTTTCAGCTCTCGAATACCCGTATTTCATCCGCACCACACAAAACGACTACCAACAAATGTCCGCCATAACCGATTTCGTTCTACATTTCGACTGGAAAGAAGTGATCGCCATATTTGTCGACGACGATTACGGCAGAAACGGAATTTCTGCCTTGAGCGACGCCCTTTCCAAGAAACATGCCAAGATTTCTTACAAAGCTTCGTTTACTTCAGGTGCATCGGAAAGAGAAATAACTGAACTACTGATCGGAGTCAACTTGAGGGAGTCTAGGGTTTATGTCGTTCACGTGAATCCCGACTCCGGTCTAGAGATTTTCGCCGTTGCAAAAAAGCTCGGGATGATGACGAGTGGTTACGTTTGGATTACCACCGATTGGCTTCCGGCGGTTTTGGATTCGTCGGAGTTGCCGGATCTTGACACGATGAATCTCATTCAAGGCGTCGTGTCGTTGCGCCAACATACGTCTAGTTCTGATATCAAGAAATCTTTCGAAAAGAAATGGAAGAACATCAAAGACAAAGAGACATCTAGCTTCAATTCATACGCTCTCTACGCTTACGATTCCGTCTGGCTACTCGCACATGCTCTTGATAAATTCTTGAAATCTGGTAACAGTATCACATTTTCATACGATCCTAAGCTTCGAGACACCAACGGAAGTGAGCTCCGGTTATCTGAACTTCGGATCTTCAACGAAGGAGAGAAGCTTCTCGAAACGATTCTGACCACAACCTTCGTGGGTTTGACCGGCGAGGTGAAGTTTAACGAGGACAAGAACTTGATTCATCCGGCGTATGACATCGTGAACATCGTCGGGACCGGTGTACGGATCATCGGATATTGGTCGAACCATTCGGGTCTCTCGGTTGCCGTTCCTGAATCGCTGTATGCTAAGCCTTCAAATCATTCTCCGGCCGATGAACGTCTTTACAGCGTGATTTGGCCCGGAGAGACGACCAAACTGCCGCGGGGATGGGTTTTCCGAACAACGGGACGCCGTTGAGAGTTGCAGTGCCGTATAGGTATAGTTATAAAGAAGTTGTGACGAAAGATAAGTCTCCAGAAGGTGTAAGAGGTTATTGTATTGATGTCTTTGAAGCTGCTGTGAATTTACTTCCTTACCCTGTCCCTCGGAAATACTTTTTATATGGAGATGGTCGAAGAAACCCTAGCTACACCAATCTTGTGAACTCTGTTGCTCAAAAACGTAAGTACTTTATTAAATTTTAAAGTGTTAAATCTAATAAATAACAAGTACTTTCATTTATCTATCTATTATATCGTCTTACTTTCATATCTTACTTTGTACTTTCAATTTTTCTCTTATTAAAAAAATTGTATTTTGAAAAATCTATTAGTTAAAACAGTGAGATTTGTTTCTTTATCTGGACGATGGTGCTATGATTCGGTAGACTTTTAAAAAAAATGAAAGTAGGATGGTATAATAAAGAAATAGATGGAAGTATGTTGTAATATTTTGCATTTAATCCAATTTTAAAAGCGGGTGTTCATTGTTATTTCTGTGGGATGTCATACAGTTTGACTTTTTTGAGGTCAAACAATCAAAAATAAAGATTAAAACTTGATTCAAAATCTTTGATATTTCCGAACAGTTTTTTATATCTTGTAACAAGAATTGCGGTTCTGGAAAATATTGGTTTTAAATTTATGATAATCACATCTTAAATTTTGGTTTTGGAAAACCTAATTTTGACTTTAAAAGTCAAAAGTGTAAGAGTATAATAACATTATCTTGATTCTCAGACATACGATGCAGCAGTTGGAGATGTTACTATTACTACAAACCGAACAAGGATAGTTGACTTTACACAGCCGTACATGGAATCGGGGCTTGTGATAGTTGTTGCAGTGAAAGAAGCAAAACCACAACCATGGGCTTTTCTCAAGCCATTCACAATTGAAATGTGGCTTGTCACCTGTGGATTCTTTCTTTTTGTTGGATGTGTTGTTTGGACTCTTGAGCATCGGCTAAACCATGAATTTCGTGGACCTCCAAGGCAACAAATCATCACAATCTTCTGGTTAGTATCCCATCCAGATATACATGACATGACATGACAAGTTAATATCACAATCTTCTGGTTAGTATTTCATCTAGATATGCATGACATGACATGATATGATAAGTTGATATCACTGGTTTGTTCTACCATAAAGGTGGAACAATGTATGACACTTCGTCTTTGCAAAAAGACATGATTGTCCTCGTCCCATCATAGAAAATAGCCCTAGAGAAATCATTGCAACGTCAACTCATATCTCCTCTTACAAATCTTAAAAGATCATTGCAATGCCATGTCATGTTTTTGGCCCTATATAACAATTAAAAAAAATCATTTTATGTTATTTTATGAATCCATTTAATTATTAGTTTATTTATTCTATTGGTTCGTTGTTATAAAAAAAATATTTTATTTATATTCTATTAATACTATTTAACTTACTTGTACATTAGAAAAGAAATGAATAGAAACACAATAATATTTGTTTTTGTTTAATCATATATATTTTAGTAAATAATTATATTATATTCGTATTTAATATTATTGATTATAAATAATTAAGATAAAAAATAAAGTAGTTGTTATATGTTAAAGTGTCACCGAATGGAGAACCACTTTTGAAAGAATGTTTTGGTGTGGGGAGTAATTGCAAAAGCTGATTACTCTTGTGGCGGTCTAAGAATATGACAAACACCGTTTTTTCTTAAAAATTTTCAGGTTTAGCTTCTCAACGATGTTTTTTTCACACAGTAAGTATAAATGATAAATCTTGATTCTTTGAGTGAAGCATGAAAATTATAGACAACTAAATTTTTTCACATGCGTAAGCAGGAGAGAACACTGTGAGCACAATGGGACGATTCGTACTAATCTTGTGGCTATTTGTGGTGTTGATTATAAATTCAAGTTACACCGCGAGCTTGACATCAATCCTCACAGTACAACAGTTGACTTCACGGATTGAAGGGATTGATAGTTTGATCTCAAGCAATGACCCGATTGGAGTACAAGATGGAACTTTTGCCTATAATTATTTGGTTCGGGATCTTAATATTTTGGAGTCTAGGATCAAACCATTGAGAGATGAGGTCGAATATGTAAATGCACTTCGTTTAGGTCCAAAAGCCGGTGGTGTGGCTGCCATTGTTGATGAGCTTCCTTATATTGAGCTCTTCATGAGGTATACTAAGTGTGAGTTCAGGATCGTTGGTGAAGAGTTTACTAAAAGTGGTTGGGGTTTTGTAAGTTACTTTTAATACGCTTTAATATTTCATATCAATTTCAAAGTTGAAAATTTAGTTGGATTGACTTGAAGAAATTCAAATTGCACCACAGGCATTCCAGAGAGACTCTCCTCTAGCAGTGGATTTATCAACAGCCATCCTCCAACTTTCAGAAAATGGAGACTTGCAAAGAATTCATGACAAATGGCTATCTTTAGCTTCATGTTCATCTCAAACTACCCAAGTGGAAGAGACCAGTAGCCTCTCTCTTAACAACTTCTGGGGCCTGTTTTTGATCTGTGGTGTTGCATGCTTCATTTCTCTCGGCATTTTCTTCTGCAGAATATTGTGTCAATACCTTCGGTTTATTCCTCATGATGAAGAAGCTCATGATCATGAGATTGTGGAGCCAGCCTCACAAACACCACGCACTGGCAGACGATCTCTTCGTGGCATCAGCTTTAAGGATTTGGTTGATTTTTATGATAGAAAAGAGGCGGAGATTAAGGAAATGGTTAGGAGAAACAAGAGGCATGCTAGTAGGGACTCGGATGAGCATAATAGTTCACCTTCCTAATTAAAATGCATGGTATTCTTTTGATTTTGCTTTTGTTTTTGTTCTTAATTTATATGAATCTGCTGCATGCTCTTATCATGTACATATATGGCTGAAAGTTAAACTAAGAGAGAATTGATTGCAAGTTTACGGAATGTATTTCGGTTAGTTTTTCTTTTAGGAAATTGTATTTGAGACTAATGTTTAAAGGCTTGTATTATAAGGAGACTAAATTACAAGTTTGGTGTGTTATAAGCTTATAACCTTTGTTTTCGGTATGGTCTACAAACGAATTTTGTTGCTGTTTTTGATCCATGTGGTTCGATTTTGTTTTGCTTTGGTTATTCTCATATAGTGCCACGAAAATACAACATACACCTAACGTCTCATGAGAGCATAGAGGTAATATTTAATAACTCGTTCCCATCGTCATAAGGTTTCCTAAGCGCATTTATATTATACTAAATTTATGTGAATTTGATCCATATACACTACATGAATATACGAATTGCCAAGTCTAATCCAAGATGTTTGCTCGTGTGGATACCAATAGAGGTAATCAACATATTTGATCATAAATTTCCACATCAAATGCTTCATTGTTAACTAGAATGTATTTTTTTTAACATGTTAAAGTTAAATGTGTACGTTAATTTAGTTTTGAAGTGACTTAATTTTGGGAATTATTTGTCATAAATTGTTTCAATCTTCATCTCAGTTTTAGATTGTTTGCTAACAACCCTAAAATTCGGGGTGTCAAATAAGACAGTCGTGTTGTGTTTTTGTTAGGCACGACAAAATTTTATGGAACACTGCAAGATACGATGTTGTATTTATTTTCATTAACACAAAAATGAATCAATTAAAACATGACATGCCACACGATAAAGATAACATAATACAATTAATAGTTTATTTAATAATTGGTCGGTAAGAGCTAGCATTGGAAGCAACAACTAACTTCAGTTCAACAACTTTTGTGGCTCGTGGCTCCACAAGCACAACTGCCCCGACGGTCCATCGTCCCTTTAAGACTTGTGGGAGTGGTGATGTGACATCCCTAATTTTTCTGGCAAATTAATTTTTTTTTATGCTTATTTAAAACATAGTATTTTTTATTAATGCGAAGTTTGTCCCAAAATGTTATTAATGTGAAATGATATGGATATCAAAAACATTTCCGAAGAAACGATTATCGTTAATATTCGAAAGCTTGCCATGTCATAATTGATATAGAAACATAATTATAAACTAGTATTTACAGGTCTTACATTGATTTATTTCATGACCTAAAACTTCTTAAATCTCCCGACATATTTAAACATCCATATTCCTGAACCTTCGTACCATTACCTGTGATACAAAGAAACAAAGTGGGCCTGGTTTGGGAGCCTGATGAGCATATAAGATTTTCAACCAACAATATTATAATCTTTTAAATATATATTTCACAGAAATCAAATATCCCAATTACCCATTCCCGTTATCCTCATTTCCTGATCCTAAAATAACGATTTCAAGGGACCTATCGTAAGGATCTTTATAAACAATGAGTAAACAATACTACTTCGGGAATTCCGTTAGCAATAAGTGTCAATGAGGCAACCATGTGGGGGGTGGAGCACAACAAATGAACACATAGTTCATTAACACGTACAGGTGATGAGTCTGCCAGTGTTCCACTTGACTACCTAGAATAGCCAGTGGTCGTCATCTATACTCCTTTAGATGACTGGGCACAACAATACGATATTACTATGATTACATCTTATTATCTCGCACATTCCTTCACTAACCAATACTTCCCTAGATGACTATGCACAACAGTACGACAATACTATGGTCATAACTTTTCATTATTATTTCACACATCCTTTCACTAACTAACACCTTCCTATCACAACCTCTCATTTATTATTTCACACAACCCTTCACTACCCAATCACATTTTAAGTATGATAGATAATTAAATATACAGTTTAATCAAATAATAACCATATCATGTTGCACAGATATATTAAACAGAACTAAATAACACACATAACATTTAAGCACTTAGAATACTTGTATCTATGTGTAAGTTGAACGTAACTATGCACTCACTTGATAAAAGTGGATGACAGGTGATTCTGATAGCACTTCACATACCACCCTAAATTTTCCTTTTGAAAAGCCTAGGTAAAAATATCACTAAGTCTTAGTCTTACATTCCATGTGACTAATGATAGTCTAGATTCCTCAGCAATCCCAATGTCTACATCAAGATCTATTAAGTAAACAACAACAAGGTACGATCATATCGCATGTAGGGTCCGTTTAGTATATAGAGTATTGTAACACCCGGTTTCAGATTGGCCTTATTAAGTGGGGTTGCGGCTCAATCATTAGTTGTCATGGGGATTAGAGCTTTGGGAAAGGAAGGATTTAGCCCATTTTGGATGAGGTTGTTATGATTCAAGTGACCCGGTATTCGATTGTGTCTTCGAGAGCCAAGGGTATGACTGTAAATTGATATCTCGGTCTGTTATGCATTTTAGGCTTTATTCGGAAGGTTTTAAGGCTCGGGTGCGATTCTAGGATCGTAGGGCTTCTCGCCACCTTTTTGTGGATATAAATTTCGTCGGAAACGGACTTAGAATGGAAGAGTTATAGCATTTTGAAGTTATTGTCAATTTTAGTCCCTAATGGAGTTTTGTGACAAAGGCAGCCCATGCATGCGTGTGTTTAGCTGGGTACGCCCAACGTAAGCTGGGTTACGCTCAGCATATAAGGACATATGGTCACGGGTGCGGAGAGGCGTACGCCCATCGTACAAGAGGTACGCCTAGCGTACGTTCAGAGTGCCCAAAACCCTAACTCCTCTACTTGCGCCCTATATAAGGCACATTATATCCTTCCCTAGTTCATTTCAGATCAGCCTCCACCCCTTTTCACGACCATGAAACCCTAAATGACCTTGGATGAAGCTTGGAGCTTGAAAGAAGACTTTTGTGTGTGTGTGCAAGAAGAGGAGGTGGTGTTCAAGTGTTGATCTTGGAAGGGAGCTTATAGATCCAGAAAGTTCTCATATTTGTCAACCCATTGGAGGTAAAAAGCTCTGATCTTGACCTTCCATTTCATAGATCCTCTTTTGGGTTGGTTTTGGCTATTTTTAGTCTTTTGCTTGGTCTTGGTGAGCTAGGGTCGTTTTGGGGACTCAAACTTGTAGATCTGGACATTATAAGGTCCCCTCTCTCATAAAGGTGAAAGCTTTATGAACTGTTTGAGTCCAAGAATGAGTTAAGACCACCCATTAAGCTCTTTTGAGCTCTAGAGTCCCACTAATCCATGCATGTTAGTAAAGTTGCCAACTTTACTTGAAAAGTCACCTATAGAAGTCAGAATGGAGAGTTGGAGCAAGGGCTGAAGTGATTAAGTGCTTATTTGGAGAGGGTTGGACTTCAGGGGAGTACGCTGGGCGTACGTCTGGTACGCTGAGCGTACTGGCCCAAGGTGGTGTACGCTGAGTGTACCATCTGGGTACGCAGGGCGTATGGTTGACTCACTTTGTTTTGTTGACCTTTTAGGGCCTTGGACCATGGACCAGGAGTTGGACTGGGTAGCCCATTTAGTATTTCAGGCCTTTTTGGAGATTAGGCCTTCTTGGGTTAGGTCCAAGATAGACTTGGGCCGTTAATGGGCCTTCATAGATTATATAGTATGGACCTCGATGGGTCGGGGGTGAAACGGTCATTTCGCCCCAAGTATGGATTATGGATCATGGTTTAGGACCCAATCGCTAATTGGGTGATATTGTAATATTGATAACTCAAGGATTCGCCAGGGCAGCAGTAAGGATTTATAGCAGTGGACTTCAACAGTACGAGGTGAGTTACCTTCCAGTAGAAGTGGGTCTAAGGCCACAATGTCGGCTCACTTTGTTTGATAGATGATTGTCTTTGTGATAATTATCTAGGTTTGCTACTACCTGATATGTTTTATGTATTAGCATGGTATGATGTTATGTGATGGTAGGTAGTAGGGGGAATAGTCCCCGTGTCACGGTCGTAAGGACCGAAGGGTAGGTCGGGCACCCCAGAATTGCCTGGCAGTATGTTTATGTTATGTTATTAGTGGTAGTGGTAGGGGTGAAATAGTCCCCAGTAGTCGGTTGAGATAAACCGTTGGGTAAGTCAAGCACCCCCAGAATGGCTTGACATGGGTAAGTCAAGCACCCCAGAATGGCTTGACCTGGGTAAGTCAAGCACCCCAGAATGGCTTGACATGGGTAGGTCAGGCACCCCATAATTGCCTGGCAGTATGTTATTGTATGGTGTGTGGTATGATGGGGGAACTCACTAAGCTTCGTGCTTACGGTTTTCAGTTTTGGTTTCAGGTACTTCGTTTTCAAAGGAAAGGAGCCGGCTCGATCGCAGCGCATCACACGATGTTTTCGACACATGAGATCTTTGGGGTTACACTCTGATATTATTTCATGATAACATGTTTGACTATTGACACTTTGGTTTTGACATGAGATGTTATTATGGATGTTTTATTACTTATGGTTTTATAATAACTTATTTAAAAATGAAATTTTTGACCTTAAATTTTGGGATGTTACAAGTATACTGTTTGGAAATCCTACTTTAAACACCTCACTAGATCTAGCATAGACATCACTCCTGTAAGTAGATCAATCATTATTTTGACATGGAATTAGGGGTGGCAATCCTCGACCCAAACCATAACCCGACACTCACCCAACACGAAAATAAACGGGTTTGGGTTGAGATTTTTGACCCGCCAACCCGCCAACCCGTTTATTTCATGGCTTGGGTTGGGTTACCTATTTGGGTTCGCAAGTCAACCCGCCAACCCGATTATATATATATATATATATATATATATATATATATATATATATATATATATATATATATATATATATATATATATATATATGATGTTTAAAAAATATATTTAATTATTTATAAATTTTGAATATTTGATTATCGTTTAATCGTTTTCCGAATTCCAAA